ATAGTCTGTCCTCCATATATTCAGCATTCGCCAGAACTACAAAGACCTGAAATATCCATTTATCCAAGGAGATATGGAATTAATGGGCATACCCCAAACAACTATCTTTCATTTTCTCCTTCTCCGCCTTGCTGGCAGCTCCATCTTCCTCTCCATTCCATTCCTGAGGGTCCACCGATCTTTAGTAACTGCTTTTAGAGGGGGAACAGGGAATTGTAGGGTGATCAGATTCTTTTCCAAGCTACAGTCTATTTGCAGAGATTTTCATCAGATCCTTTGGCTCATTTCAGACATCCCATGATACCATGGTTTATTTTAACTAGGGTTAGATCATTAAATCAGGATTCAGCTCACAGATACTCAAAAGGCTGGTTTAATTTCCTTTTCTCTACAGCCTGGGAGAGTGTTGTCAGAGCCAAGATGGCTGTATTCAGACACATGAAACTGCAGTTAAAACTAACTATGGTTAATGAACCAACTTGATGGATTCTAACAGTTAGGATTCTAAACAACCAATTTGATGGATTCTAACTAACTATAGTTAGTGGATCATACTAACCATGGTTTCTCTGGATGTCTGACCTGAAACATTGTCTCCAAGATTTTATTCTTAAAAAAATTAGGCCGAATAGAAGGAAAACAAAGGTGGCATGGTATATAGCCTGATCTCATCAGATCTCATCAGATCTCAGAACCTAAGCAAGGTTGGTTCTTGGAAGAAAGACTCTGCAGAACAAGGCAGTAGCAAACCACCTCTGTTTCTCACTTGCCTTGAAAGCCCATTAATGGGCTTCATACGTTTTGTTGCAACTTGATAGCACTTTACACACACGGACACCATTGGGGTGATGGCTCAACCTAAACTCTGTCCCTAGTGATTCCAGTGTCAATAATCATTTGGGCTTTGACTCCTGCAACGGTGTCTCAGATTGTGATGTGTTTACTGGAATTATACAAATGGTTGGATTGCTCTTCCTGGAATCTGCCGTCTTCTTGGAAATTAAAGTATATTACTAGGAGGAGGAGGAGGAAAGACAATTCTGTCCCTAAGGGAGAGAAACTGATTGTTGCCTTGTAACATCAAGACCTTCAGGCATCAAGAACATTTGAATTTGGTTAGTTTTGAAGAGGGTAAGAGGAGTGATTCCATCTCTCCGCAGAGTTCCGCAGAGCCTGCAAGACAGTTCCGCAGAGCCTGCAAGACGGAGCTCTTCCGCCAGGCTTTTGAATAGGAGCCGCCACCACCAGTGTACCACCAACGCCCCATAATCTCTGTATATGGACATCAGGACGCGGGCATGTACCACCAATTGTCCCATAATTTCTGCATCATGGGTGAGAACGGGACGTTTAGGGGATGGTCATCTTGCTTTTAGTAAATGTAACTTTGGAATTGGTTTAGAGGAGCACCAAAATTGTTTATTTATTGTGATGTATTTTTAATATTTTGTACTGTTTTATTGTTTTATTTGGCAATATGCCTTGTTAGCCGCCCTGAGCCTTCGGGGAGGGCGGGATAGAAATGTAAATAATAAATAAACAAACAAATAAATAAACAAATAAGTAAATCTCCCTTTGTGTCCTCCTACTCCCTCCCATGTTCTTTGTTTCATATGCTGAAATCTACTGCTTATGGAATTTATGGAACTTGTGGAACTTTGCTCCCATTACATTCATAGGACAAATTGGAATGGGCGCAGTATGTTTAGTTCTTCTGAAAGTCCTTTGGGAGAGGGTGGTCAATAATAATAATGAAGAGGAAGAAGAAGAAGAAGAAGAAGAAGAAGAAGAAGTTGCATTATTTAGATTTCCAAGGGTTTGCAGCAAGCAGTAACATTGAAAACTTCCAAGCTCAACAAAGTATCCACTGCCATTTAAACAAAAATCAGTCAAAAGGTTATGCTGGTTATATGAGAACAGAAGCAAAATGAATATGACCCATGGAAAGTTATGCATGTCTATTCCACTAAAAATGAACGAGGCTAGCAGTTTTTTTATTAACTAAATGTTTCTGTTCTTTCTGGGAAACTTGCTTTCAAATTAAAACTGAAGTGTTTTGAAATAATAATCGATAATCAGTTTTCATAACATTACAATAAACAAGCAGTAGGATGATGATCAGGAGCTGCGGTGGCTCAAGTGGTTAAGACGCTGAACTGCAGGCTGTGGAAGGTCAGTAGTTCAGCAGTTCAAGACCCGGGTGCCGCAAGACGGGGTGAGCTCCCGTCTCTAGTTCCAGCTCCTGCCAACCTAGCAGTTCGAAAGCAAGAAATTGCAAGTAGATAAATAGGTACCACTTCGGTGGGAAGGTAACAGCGTTCCCTGCGCCTTGGTGTTTAGTCATGCCGGCCACATGACCACGGAAACGTCTTCGGACAGCGCTGGCTCTTCGGCTTTGAAACGGAGATGAGCACCGCAACCCTAGAGTCGGATCCGACTGGCTTTTGAGCAAGGGAACCTTTACCTTTACTAGGATGATGATCAAAGTCAACATTCAGTCCAAAATCCTAGTGGTATAAAATTGGTACTTTCTAAAAATTGAAACAAATTGGGTTTGGCAAGCTTCTGTAGAAAGCAAGTTCCATAACAGTAGCATCACAAACCTGGTATCACATCAAATATCTGTGCAGCCATATGGCTTCACCAGATTACCTCAGCGGGTCATAGGTTGCCAGGTCTGGGTTGGAAAATACCTGGAGACTTTGGGGGTGGATCCTGGAGAGGGCGGGGTTTGGCGAGGGGCCTGAGCATGGTACAATGCCAGAGAGTCCACTTTCCAAAGCAGCCATTTTCTCCAGGGGACCTAATCTCTGTCAGCTGGAGATCAGTTGTAAAAGTGGGAGATCCCCAGGCCACACCTGGAGGCTGGCAACCCTAGTGGGTTAAGAGGTTTAACTAGCAGTAGCGTTCTTGACATACACCAGGCCTAATCCATTTGGGTCTTTCATAAGTCACAGCAAACACCTTATGCGGAGACACTTGTCACATACAGGCATTCTGTAGCACTGGTGCAATGTAATCTGTGAAGCTAAAATCCATCATGTTTGGTGTAGTGGTTAAGTGCGCGGACTCTAATCTGGGAGAACCAGGTTTGATTCCCCACTCCTCCACTTGCACTTGGCTGGATGACCTGGGGCAAGCTATAGCTCTGACACAGCTTTTCTTGAAAAGAGCGTTTCTTGTCAGAGCTCTCTCAGCCCCACCTACCTCACAGGGTGTCTGTTGTGGGGAAGGGAAAGGAGTTTGTAAGCCACTCTGAGACTCCTTTGGGTAGTGAAGGGTGGGGTATAAATCCAATCTGTTCTTCTACTTCTTCTATTGATATTTTTCAGGCAGTCTTCACAGGCACCCTCACACAATGCACTAAGGGACCTAGACATTCCTCACCAGGCCTGTAGCTAGAAAAATCTTTGGAGAGCAAAGAGGGGGCAGGAACTGTCAGCGAGGGGGGGGGAGGAGGGGAGGGAGCCAGCAGGACAGGAGGGTGTGGAAGCAGGAAGACCCAAGTAAATGTGTGGACAGGCAAGGAGAGCGTGCCAGACCGGAGTGCCCCTGGGCCTAAGGATTCTAATAGAAAACCTGCATGCCTTCTACTTTCAAGGAATGCCAAGTTTCAGACCTTTGTGGAAACTTCTAGCTCTCCAATTTATATGGCACTTTGAACTTGAAAGAGTCTTTTCAGTCTTCATCAACTCAACAAAAAGCCCGGGGAAGGCGGGGGGGGGGCTGCCAAAGAAAAGCAAGTGCACAAGCACGGAGCCCCCCATTACAAAGGAGGGTGAGTGGGACAGGACAGACTAGGAGGAGGGGGTGAAAAGAAGAGAATGGAAGAATGGCGACACACTCCAGGCTTCCTTCCCCCCACCCCCTCCCGGCGCCCAAGTATTGTACCGGCTGTGGTGAGGGCAGTGGGGGAGGAGGGCGACATGCTGCTCACCCCAGGCTTCCTCCCCCCCCCCCCCGGCCAAGTACTGTGCCAGCCATTGTGAGGGTGGCAGGGAGGAGGGCAGCCCGCTACTTGCCCAAGGCTTATTCTCCATACAATCACATCCCTGCAAGGTTGGTGGGGGAGGAGGGCAGTGTCAGCGCCCTGGCTACGGGCCTGTTCCTCACTTTCTCTGTATTTTACCCCCTTAGATTAGTCATTGCAGTAACTGATATAGGCCACTGGCATAAAAGGTGCTAGAGGAACAGTGTCTGTTGTTTAGCCTACGTATGAACCTGAGGAAAACTTCTCATAACTGGGAAGCAGGATGCTACTACTCTTTTATTTTGGGAAGCTTTTGAATCATTTATTTTGTTACCTGCACCATGAACCAAACATGGATTCTAGAACCCATCTGCCTGTGATAATGGTACAATGCCATATCCGGCATGGCACATTCGCAGTACATCTTATCCAAAATTCTTACATGCTGGCATAGCATACTATTGGGTTAAAAAGTACATACATTACTTTGTGAATGCCAGGAAGAAGTAAAATACTACATTTTGAGGTGCTGTTATTACAAGAGCACAGCAGTGCCATCCTATGCAGAGTTGCTCCAGTTTAAGCCCCCTGGCTTCAGTGGGTTAGAGTGGAGTAATTCTACATAGGATTGCGCTGTAGCTCATCCAGAGTGCTGTCTGGATTTAACAGAGGTACGCCTCTCCCAGTCCATTAAAGTTAACTTAACCTCTACTTAGGTGGGCCCTGCCAACCTATTGAAACACATTCTAGAGGGCAACAGTGATTCTTCGTGCACGGAGCAAGCAGAAAAGTGTTCTACCATCTATGGTCCCCTTGGAATACACAGACCCTGTCTGCCCACACCTGTACATCACCACCCATTATGATCGACATTTTGCTACAGAAGTATAACACTCTTGGCAGAAATAATGGCCCAAAGATATGGGGATAGATTTCAGCTGTTGCTTCAGGTTGACATCTTCCATCGGCAACCGGAAGATACCTTTGACAAAGGCAGACATTTTGCAAACCAAATTTTTCTTGCACACAGGCAAAGATGACTCAGTTGCCAGAGGCTGAGAAAGAAAAGATAGCCGAACAGGTGGCTGACTTCAAGAAAGTGAAGAGTAAGCTCGACGCAGAGATTGAGATCTGGGATGATACCAGCAATGACATCATTGTTCTGGCTAAACGGATGTGTGTGATTATGATGGAGATGACAGATTTCACGAGGTAATTATGCAGTGTGTTTTTTTAAAAATATATATGATGTATTTGTAAGAGCTAGAAGCAATTGTCACATTCAAAATGGATAACACAAAGAGTTGTAATGACAGGTGACAAGTGACTGTCAAAACTAATAGAACTGAAAACTGAAGTATTCCCTGTGAAATACTGAAACGCCAGGAGGAATATTAAAACCTTTGTACTTCGCTTGCCCAGGGCAGAGGCAGTGCTTTGTTTGTCTTTGTCCTTTTTGTTTTCTAATTCTTTTGCTTGGGGTTATTTTCTCTGGTTGCTCTTTTTAAAAAAAATATGATTAGGCTACAATCTCAAAGGCATTCTTTTGGGATTAAGCCCCATTGAACATGGGATTTATTTAGAGAAGACCTGTTTAGGATTGCTCCCTTAGAATTACTCTGTGAAATCCACCTTGCATCCCAGAGAGAAAGGGGAATTATAAATAACATGAATAAGTAAATGGGTCTACTCAGAACCTTACTGAATCTGTTCGATGGGACTTACTCCATCTTACTTCATAAGATTGTTAAATACAGAAGTGACCCAGTGAGATCAAAATCTTGAAGATAAGAGTTAGCTAATATGAAAATGAAGAACAAATGTCTACAGTATTTGTGCTTTTAAGACTAGGCTGATCTACACTACCAACAGGTTTTCTACCAGTGTATACTTCAAGGCCTTCTCTCCAAGAAATGCTGACCATTATAATTTGGAGAGGTTGATGAGAATTGTCTGAGATCTCTGTCATCATGGAACGACAGTTCCCAGGGTTCTCTGGGGAAAGGAAATTACTGTGGAAGTAGTTTAAATCAATGGCAGTGGCAGGCATACATTCATTGTATAATCTTACTCTTCGCCTTGTATTTCCATATAGCGTACTGTCATAATGTTAACATGTTGGGGTTGGTCTACCTATCACAGTATTTTTTTTGCAAACTATAACCTTGCTGTCATTTCACTGACATTCAGCCAGCCTGCAGATTAAAAAAGATTTCATAAAGATGAGAATAAAATTAAAACTACAGCAGCAACAACAGAATCCTACCACCCACCTTACAGTGCAGTCCTAAACATTTATGCCCTTGTAAGTCTGTTGACTGCAGTGGAAGAGTATGACTTGGTTGAGAATTGCACTGATAGGGATGGTCTGCCCCATGTTTCAAGAAGATGTTCCCAGAAAAACATATTTTAGCTTACCAGCTCTATGTTAAGTAGTGATTATTGGCTGTATCTTGGATTTGACTTGCCAAGAAACGGATATTAAGGTTGAAAACCCAGTGAAGTATGTGGCACTGCAGGCGAATGTGCCGGCGGTGATGTTCTAGGTGGCGTTTTATAGAATGAAGTTGGCTGAGAGATTGTCTCCCTTTTTTTTATTTTGTTCACAGTGCATTGTGGTTTACTAGCCCATGCTGAACGGCATTGATGCAAGACAGAATAAGGACATGAAATGGAGTGTATATTGCACCAATATACACTCCATTGACCAATTTAAGGAACAAGCCTAAGTATCAAATTGCACAGGCAATCTCCCACATTTTTGACATTTGACTGTTTCTATGGGATTAAAGTCACACTTGAAGGTAAAAATTTCGCCTACCTGTTCTATTGGGTCTGTTCCCCCGGCCGTTGCAGCTGGAGAATCTGCAAATCAAGCACACACACACCCCAATCTTCTACTTAAATACAAAATCCTGAATCTTGTACAGCCTCTTAGTTTAAAATTGTAAATTCACAATCCAGACTTCCGCCGCTGAGCTGCGCAATGCAAATAAAGGCCCGATCACTTTACACTGCATAAGCCATATGGATTCTTCCCAGTAAAATAAACAGAAGCATATTTTTTAAAAATGTACACGCATGATGACGGGGAAGGCAGATGGTAGAATAGTGCTGGGGGTTGCAGTCCTGAAACGTTGTGTTCTGAAAGCAGTGGGTATGAAATGAATATAAAGAGTTTTACACCGCATTATATCGGAGATTGGGAAGAACTTCCTAGTCGAGGTGCCATCTGGATCTCACAGGGTTGAGAAAACACATGATTTTTAACACACATTTTGCATACTCAGGGTTTTTTTTTTAAGCTATCAACTATAACAAGGAGTGAATTGTTGAGATTCTTGCATTGTGAGTAATGTAGCTTCTTCATCGTGGCTTCTGTGCAGGCACACGTGGGGGACTGTATGATTGCAGGCCTGCCGTGGAGAAGAGCCTCCAAGCTGTTAAAGACATTTCTAGGCTCTAGGAGTGCTCCCCCTCCCCTCTGTCTGCAGAGATCCCTTTCCTGCCCAAAAGGTCATGTGATAGAGGCAGGGCAAGCACTCCTCTCTCAGTTGTATTCTTGCCACCATGAGGAGAGGACGTGCTTTCAATACAGCTGCTTCGTAGGGGCTCAAAGATGAGTTCCAGTGCGGTTTTCCATGAAGAACAATTCTTACCTACAAAATCAGTAGGATGGCCCTTTTCAAAAAGTATGAGTGCCAGTGCTATTTAACACCTATATGTGCCTCCTCACCCAGTTAGTCCGGAGTTATGGGCTGAGTTGCCATCGGTATGCTGATGACACTCAGCTTTATCTGTTAATGGATAGTCATCCATCCTCTGTTCCTGGAAATCTGGTTGAGGCTTTGGACGCTGTGGCCGGATGGTTGCGGCAAAGTTGATTGAAGTTAAATCCATCGAAGATGGAGGTCCTGTACCTGGGTCACAGGGGTTCGGAGGTGGGCACCAGACTTCCCACACTGGAAGGGGCACCTCTGGTTCTGGCTCAGTTGGTGAAGAGCCTGGTAGTAACACTGGATACCTCCTTATCTAAAGAGGCCCAGGTTGCTGCAGTCGCCAGGTCTGCATTTTTCCATCTTAGGCAGATCAGGCTACTGAAGTCTTATCTCTCCCCCTGGGAATTAGCTATGGTGACCCATGCAACAGTCACTTCCAGGCTTGATTACTGCAACTCGCTCTACACAGGCTTACCCTTAAAACTGATCTGGAAATTATAGCTGGTACAAAATGTGGTGGTGCGCCTGCTGACGTCAATGCCTGTGTGGGCTCACGTTCGGCATGTGCTTTGTCAGCTGCACTGGTTGCCAGTTGAGTACCGGATCCACTTCAAGGTGTTGGTTGTTGTTGTTGTTCAATCGCACAGTCGAGTCCACCTTCAAAGCCTTATACAGCCTGGGACCAACATACCTAAGGGACCGCCTCTTCCCATATACGCCTCGGAGAGCATTACACTCTGATAGTCAACATCTCCTGGTGATCCCTGGCCCAAAGGACATCCACCTAGCCTCGACCAGGGCCAGGGCTTGTTCTGCCCTGGCCCGCACCTGTTGGAACATGCTCCCAACTGAGATCAGGGCCCTGTGGGATCTTATTCAATTCCACAGGGCCTGCAAGACGGAGCTGTTCCGCCAGGCCTTTGGTTGAGGCTGCGGGTGTCCACATATGCCCCCCCCCAAGGCTGCGGTCTCCCACCCACTGATATCTGGCCATACCTAGCTATCTCAATGGGCCGCATTCTCCCTATGGCAAGCATGATTATTGATTTTATATGTTTTAACATGTTTTAAATTTTATTGTATTTATCGAAGTGTTGTAACCTGCCCTGAGCCCGTTTATGGGATGGGCAGGATATAAATGCAATAAATAAATGAGAATTGTAAAGCAAAAATAGCTCAGAATGACATCATAGATTATGTCTTCTATGTCTGGGAGAGCTCCACAACATGGCTACTGGTCCAGCATGCTGTCAACTTATCCCTAAAGTCCAAGAGGTCAGAGTGGCAAGACTGAAAGCTGAGAAAGCCCTCAATGCCTCAGACCACCGCAGGGAAAAGTGGCCCTAATTTGATAAGGGAACGAGGGCCCATTCAGTGACTTTGGCACCAACACCCTCGACATCGGAGGTGCAAGCCCAACCAGCTGTTGTCAGATTGGCTTTGGAACTGCCTCTGAAGAAAGCTAAGAAAAAGGTCAAATGCTCCCACCACAATCCAGCTTGATTGCTCCCATGTTGACACAGTTCATTTGTGCCTTGAGACCGATGGTCTCAGTCCCTATGGTGCAGAGCCTCACCATCCTCCAAAAGTTGACAGTCTTTCCTGTGTCAGCACTGACAAGCTAACTTTCCTCAGAGTCAAACATCGACACTGATAATTTTTAAGTCGAGGTCCCCTTGACACAAGAACTTGCCACCAAGAGTCGAGATTGGCCCATCTTTGCAGCCAAAGACACCTGTGGCATTGAGATGAGCTATTCAGTTTCCAGAGTCATTGGAATATAAAGCCTTCAAAGTGCTGCCATTGGCACCATCAATGCTTCAGGAAAGAGGGTAACTTGATCAGCAACTGCCAATCCAGTGGCCATCTCAGCAGAATTCATGGGGTACATTCCTATTGATGATGATGCCTCAGGGGGGCTCCAGGCACCTTCACATACTCCTGGCAATTTCCAAAGTCCACCACATCCAAAGGAGACCATCAGACTCGATGCCAGGCTGGGAAAGGGTCCTAAGGGTGTAGGGTGTTTTAAGGGTGTAGGAGATACTGGTGGGTTGGGAATGGCTAATTGAGGTTTACCTGCTGAATCAGGGCTGGATGGTGTTGTGGTTCTGCACCAGCTGTTGGCTGTGAATCCTGTCAAGCCTGCATCTCATTATCTTGCTGGTCAACTTATGTTAATTTAAGGCTAGCTACATGGGACTCCTCTTCTCCCGAGGAGTCCTCTGTATTGCTGAGCCCTGGCTGACCCATGACAACAGCAGTCATGGACCACTACCAAATGTTACTATAGGAAAAGATGACACAGTTTGTAGAAATGTTACCTAATGATAAGAAACCATAGCAAAGGTACTCATTGCAGAAGGCCAAAAGCTGAATGCTGCCAAACATGGAGCCAATTGTCATAGTAGGTCAATGGTCTCTGGCATTATCATAAGGAGACACTCCTGGCTCCGCTCTTCAGCCCTCTCACAGGATATGAGGGTGAAAATA